AAGTTAGGATGCATTTACTCAAGCCCACTCACTCAGCAATCCAACCCCCAGGTGATACATGAGCAAAAATTTCGGAGAGCTGGGCAGAATGATGGTTACAATCTGGGGAACTAAAAGAAGAGTCAGAGAAATTGGCCCTGAACCCAGAAACTTGACATCATTAACTACACTCTAATGATATAAGTACGAGAGTCACATAAAAAGAAGAGCAAAATATTAAAAGTTGGCACAAACTTTTAGAAAGTATTTATTTTTCAAAGACAAGCAAAATAGAAGCTTTATGTATTTCTATGCTTATAACTCAAGTCCTGAACAGCAACTCTTACCTCTGGTGGTAAATGGACTTCCATAGGCACATATGTTGGCCAATAACCCATTGTCAGGATATTCACAGTTAATTCAATATTCCCAGGTACATTCTGGTTCTGCATATACTACAATAAGATCAACACACATACTAAGATCTTAAAAATAAAGGTGCATACATTTCATGTCATAATAACGACCCATTCAAGAAGTTCCCCATTATAAAATTACATGCAAACACTGACCATCTTTAAAATAAAAGGCAACTGTTATAAAAGGACTATAAATGAAGCCTACATTAAATGTACTAGTTAATATTTCATTACAATGGCACACAAGGATCACGTGACCTTGTTAGAGGCATTAGTGACTTAAATAATTTCTCACTTATGGCTGGGCTATTATAGGTAGAATCTCATTCTCCATTTTTTTTTTTTTAAGATTTTATTTATTTATTTGAGAGAAAGTAAGCAAGAGAGAGGACTGGAGAGAGGGGAGGGTCAGAGGGAGAAGCAAGCTCCCCGCTGAACAGAGATCATGACCTGAGCCGAAGGCAGTCGCATAACCAACTGAGCCACCCAGGCGCCCCTCATTCTCCATTCTTTTCCCCCTACCACCTGCAGTCCCCACCTTTGGAGACCCCTATGTGGCTTGGAACACCCTGTAGCAACCCCCATTCCTCACCCCACCAGCCAGCCCAAGTCTCCGGTTTTTCACTTGCTCCACTGCCTGTTTGCAGGGGATGACCTAAAGTGGGGAAGGAAGAAGAAGGGGAAAGGGCAAAGAAGATAAACCCTATTCTGTCATTACTACAGGACCATGATCCTATTGATCTTTCTCTTGTGTTGTCCACTCTCAGTTCCCACCATAGCAATATAGTGGTAAAGGAGTCACTACTAAAACCCTGAGAGGAAAATCTAATTTGCTATCGCTATTACCTATGCTCTTAAATATTTCAAAACCACCATCTACCAACATCTGCAAAACTGTGGATCTAGCTTTTCATTCCCAATGTTCCCAAAGGCCTTATACAACCTTTCTATCACCTCTCCTCCCTCCCCATTGCCAGCTTTGAACATACATATCACCAACAGTGATTAGATGCTAGTGAAAGCCCTGTTCTCACGATCTAGCTACAGTTTTTCTTGTCCTGACTTCAGTCAATACATTTTATTCATTTTTTTTTTTGTTACCTTGGGTATATATATATTGGGAATAAATTCTGAAGTAGGTCAAATGTATTTTGTTGGTGATTTTTTCCCTCTAATGTGAATGTCATCTAAGCTGCTATGATGTATTTACAACAAATATAGGTTTCTATTTATCCTCTTCAGTGCAAATCACAGGAAGAAGATAACTAAATATACTTAAGTTTGAGAAATTAAGTAAGAGTTTAACTCACTTTTACCTGTTTGAACTGAATCATGATGTCTTTAGAAAGTTCCATGTCTTTAAACATTCCTTCAAGTTTGCTGGTGAAAGCAGCTCCACATTCTATTAAAGATGTTTATACATTTATGATATTTTAAAGTGGTGAAAACAAAGAATTGAAAATTGAAAACATGAAATGTAAAACTTACTTTAGCATGAAATATGATCTTTAACTATTCACAAGAATGAAAAAATCCTTACCCCAAAGTGTATGCCCCACTAATTCAGAGTCAAACTCTTTAATCCTGTAGTAACCTTATCTACTATTTAGGCATAAGATAAATGGAAAATATCTATACAAATAATAAAAACAAGAACAATGCTTTATTTTTTAAAAAACTACAACAGCTCTGGATATGTACAATAGGTTGGAAACCTCATGAGCTTACTTAATTTTCATCATATGAACAATGATTAATCAAAGAGGCAATTAAAGAGTAAAAATTAAGCTAACATTTTCCTTCAGAAACCAAAGAAAAGGAGTAGAAAGAATGACAATCATACCATGTTTAAGTTTGGACAGCATTGATTTTTCAGCATCTACAGATGCACTCTTCCCAACTAACAGGCGCTTGGCTAAATCTTTCTTATAGAAGGCTTCAAAAACATCCTTACCTATGTTAAATAATAAAACACAACTCATAAGAGTCCAATAAAAAGTTCTGACAAAATTGCTCCAAAGTGCTTAATAAATCACACCATTACTTCAAGTTATTTAAATGTTTACATTTACCCAAGTTCGTTAAATACAACAGACATTAGAGGTAGATATTTATGCTGGATATTTCAAAAGTTCTTTGCTATAAAGAATTAAGACTGCATTAACTTTAAAAAAAAAAAAAACTTGAGTCAACTGGTGGCTTTAGCATCAACAGAAATTAAAACAAGTAGCAAAAATCAAGGCTCTTAATAAGTGGAAAAGTCAAAGCACAAGGCAATGAAGTAATATTCCTCAAGTACCCTAATGAATTAAATGCCACAAATATAATACAATTTTAAATATCTAACTCCCAAATAAATAGTCCCTTCTGGTTAATTATACTTGATAGTTTCTCTGCTGAGTGCTCTGTTTTAAAAGAAAAATTTTAAAACAAAAACACTTACCATAGATAAATCTAAATATGATCATAATTTTATCCAACATTTTTTCAAGTTCTTCATCTGTAGCTTCTTTGTTGCCTGCACGAAGCTTTGAATCTACATACTTAGCTAAAATGGGGGGAAAGTTCATTGTTTAGTGATCATATTTAGTGATCATGGGTATCCATAAGATACTAGGCACTATATATACCCAAACAGGAGTATGATATACTGAGTTTTTCAAGGTTTCAGAGGTATACATGCACTTTTTAAAGTCTCCAAAGTCAAGGTTAGCAAGTGACTTATTCAATCTCACAGAGCTAATAAATACCAGAGCCTGAACTCAAACCCAAGTCTTCTGGCTCCTGATCTAATGTACTTTCCACTTCCACTATCCTGATGCTTATTAATATGGGGTAGCATGGGGGAGGTAGTGTATACAGAACCATGCTGGAGTCATCAAAGCCACTGAAGATGGGAGGGAGGTCCAAGATGGCAGAATAGGAAGAGCCTGAACACACCTCCTCCCATGAACACACTCCCAGCTACAGCTACATGGAGCATTTCCTTTTGAAAAACATCTGAAAACTAGATGAACTGTTCTCCACAACAAAGGATAAAACGATCACATCAAGATGCGTAGGAGAGGCAGAGACAACACAGGTATAACAACACACAACAGGGAAAGATTTCACCAGACAGGTGCTTCTCTTGGAGGAATAAGGGGTTGGTGCCTTACTTCAGGCACCCTGGCCCCAGTGATCTGCACTACAGAGATGAGCCCCCGAAACATCAGACTTAAAAAACAAACAGAAGTGATTTCCAGGGATCCCAAAGTGCTGTAGGAAATGGGAGATTCCACTCTTGGGGGACTCTCTTGTGGCATGGCTCACCCCAAGACCCAGTGAAAAAACAGCAGTTTGAAAAGCACCTAGACTATATGTGAAAGATACATTTGCTGACTTGGGGGCATATCAGCTGGAGGGGCGGGATATAGCTAATATGCTCCCTAGAGATCAAGGTGATGGCAGACACCATCATTGCACTTTCCACACAGCCTGCTAGCATAGGTAGGGGGGCTTGGGTGTGGTAACTGAAGTCAACAATACATTGAAAGGATCTTACACCATGATCAAGTGGGATTTATTTCAGGGATGAAAGGATGGTTCAACATCTACAAATCAATCAACAGGATACACCACATTAACAAAATGAAAGATAAAAATCATATGATCATCAACAGATACAGAAAAAGCATTTGACAAAATTCAACATCCATTTATGTTAAAAACTCTCAACAAAGTGGGTATAGCAGGAACATACTTCAACAAAATAAAGGCCATATATGACATACTCACAGCTAATATCATACTCACCAGTGAAAAGCTTTCCTCTAAGATCAGGAACAAGACAAGAATACCCACTATACCCACTCTTATTCAACATTGTATTGGAAGTCTAGTCACAGCAATTAGGCAAGGAAAAGAAATAAAAGGCATACAAAGTGGAAAGGAAGAAGTAAAACTGTCACTATTTGTACATGACATGACACTAGACATTGAAAACCCTAAAGACCACTGAGGAACTATTAGAATAAACGAATTCAGTGAAGTTGCAGAATACAAAATATACAAAAGTCTGTTGTGTTTCTATACACTAATAAAGAACTATCAGGAAGAGAACTCAAGAAAACAATCCCATTTACTGCATCAAAAAGAATAAAATACCGGGGCACCTGGGTGGCACAGTCGGTTAAGCATCCAACTCTTGGTTTCAGCTCAGGTCGTGATCTCAGGGTCGCAAAATGGAACACCATATGGAGTCTGCTTGAGACTCCCTCTCCCTCTCCTTTTGCCCCTCCCCCTGCTCTCTCTCTCAAATAAATAAATCTTAAAAAAATAAATAATAAAATACCTGAAAGTAAATTTTTAAAAAAGATTTTATCTATTTATTTGAGAGAGAGACAAAGCACAAGCAGGGGAAGGGGCAGAGGGAGTAATCTACAGATTCAGTGCAATCCCTATCAAAATCCCAATGGTATTTTCCACAAAACTATAACAAGTAATTTAAAAATATATATTGAACCACAAAAGATCCCAAATAGCTAATCCTGAGAAAGAAGAACAAAGCCAGAGGTATCATGCTCCCTGATTTCAAACTATACTACAAAACTATAGTAATCATTGCTCACTTTGGCAGCACATATAACTAAAATTGGAAGGATACAGAGATTAGCATGGCCCCTCGAAGGATGACATGCAAATTCATGAAGCATTCCATATTTTAAAAAAAACAAACCAAATAAACCCCTATAGTAGTAATCAAAACAGTATGGCATTAACATATAAAGAGACATACATATCAATGGAACAGAACAGAGAGCCCAGAAATAAACCCATGCTTATATGGTCAATTAATCTATGCCAGAGGAGGCAAGAATATACGATGGGGAAAAAAGACAGTCTCTTCAATAAATGGTATTGGGGAAAACTGGACAGCCACATGCAAAAGAATGAAACTGGACCATGATCTTACACCATACAGAAAAATTAACTCAAAATGGATTAGAGACTTGACTGTCTTTTTAATGGATAGATGAAGACCTGAAACCATAAACTCCTAAAAGAAAACATAGGCTGGGGGCGCCTGGGTGGCTCAGTTGTTAAGCGTCTGCCTTCGGCTCAGGTCATGATCCCAGGGTCCTGGGACAAAGCCCCGCATCGGGCTCCCTGCTCATCGGGAAGCCTGCTTCTCCCTCTCCCACTCCCCCTGCTTGTGTTCCCTCTCTCGCTGTGTCGCTCTCTGTCAAATAAATAAATAAAATCTTAAAAAAAAAAAAAAAGAAAAGAAAACATAGGCTGTAACTCCTGGACACAGGTCTTAGCAATGTTTTTTTTCTGAATATGACTCCAAATGCAAGGGAAACGAATGCAAAAATACACAAATAGGACTTCAACTAAAAAACTTCTGCACAGAGAAGGAAACCATCAACAAAATGAAAAGGCGATCTTTTTGGGAAAAGATGGAATGAAGATATTTGCAAATCATATATCCAATAAGGGGTTAATACCCAACATAGATAAGGAACCCATACAACTCAGTAACAAAAAAATCCAATTAAGAAATTGGCAGAGGATCTGAATGTCTTTTTCCAAAGACATACAGATGGCCAACAAGCACATGAAAAGACGCTCAATATCACTAATCAACAGGGAAATGCAAATCAAAATCATAATGGGATAGCACCTCACATCTGTCAGAATAGCTAGTATCGAAAAGACAAAAAAATGTTTGGTGAAGATGTGGATAAAAGGGAATCCTCGTGCAGTGTCGGTGGGAATGCAAATTGATGCAGCCACCATGGAAAACATTATGGAGGTTCCTCAAAAAATTAATAGTGCTATCATATGATCCAGAAATTCCACTACAAAGATAATGCAAACACTAAGACATATGCACCCCCATGTTCACTGTAGCATTATTTACAATATCCAAGATAGGGAAACAACCTAAGTGTTCATCAGCGGATGAACGGATAAGAAAGGGTATGTGTGGGTGTGTGTGTAATGGACTACTACTCAGTCATAAAAAGAATGAAATCTTGCCTTCTGTGATAACATGGATCTTAAGGGTTTTATGCTAAGTGAAATGAAGACAGAGAAGTAAGACAAATACCGTGTGGTTTCACTTATATGTGGAATCTAAAAAACAAAACAAAATTCAGACTCAAATACAGAGAACAGACTGGTGGGTGCCAGAGGGAAGGGGGGCTGGGGTGCCAAAATGGGTAAAGGGGATAAAGTACAAATTCAGTGATAAAATAAGTAAGTCATGGGGACGTAATGTACAGCATAGGGAATACAGTCCATAAATATTGTATTAACTCTGTAAGGGGACAGATGGTAACTAGGCTTATTGTAGTGATCATTTCACAATGTATACAAACACTGAATCACTATGTTGTACAACTGAAACTCAAATATTACTGTATGTCAAGTACATCTCAAAAAAAAAAAAGCCACTGAAAGACCTGGCACATCTTCTGGGGTGTCCATTTTACACCGATGTTAAGGAACCTTAAACACTACTTATTAAAACAAACCAGACACATCACAGAGTAAAAGACAAAATTTGCCAAAAAATTAAAGGATAAGTAGTAGACCAACGAAATTTCATCCTTCTGGCAGAAGACCCTAGACCTTCATCACAGGGTACCTCCCCTTCTGACATTTAAGGGTAGTCTGGTAGGGAAATCTGAGGAACACTGCTGTATACCACAACCTTACACTAAATGGGCCCAGATTATTAAGCTTATTTTTGTCCTGGACATTTTTCCTTTCTTCCTAGCAACTGTAATTTCTTGCTACCCTCTCTTGTAGCACTTAGTGTGGGCCTCTAGAAGTAGCACCCTGCCCCACCTCTAAATTGCTATAGGCTTAGAAAACAGATATCCAGCTTAGTATAAATAAGAGTAAACAGGGTTCAATGTACTATCTTACAAAGAAAGAACATTATGTTTGGCATGTGAACTTGAGATGTTCTTTACCTTGAGATGTTCTTTACTTATTCCTTACATCTAGGTTCTTAGAAACTAGCCCCTAAGCAACCCCAAATAAATGTGTTAATAAACTACATAACCTTGTCAAAATTTCAAATTGACTGAAATTTTATGAATAAAAGAACATTAAATAGCCGGGGGAAAAAACACTGGAAAAATACCTATAAGTTCAGCAGGTTTGTTTGGTCTTTTGTTAATGAATGTTTCGAATGCTTCTTTCATGGCATTGATAAATTTTTCATTTTTCAGAAAGCAAATATCAATTATATGGTCAACCTTATCTTTAAAATCCAGCAATTCTTGAACCATGGTTTTATCTTTTTCAGGATTAATTACAATAGTGCTGCCAAATGCCTAAAAAACAAAAATGACAACTTTTTAAAATTGAATTATCTCGATGAAAACAATTCCTAAATCATATTTTAAGTAGGTACACATTTTTAAATTACAAGATATTAAAATAAAATAAAACTGTTTTTGAAGTCAGGAAAAGAAAAATAAAGTGATAAAACATCCAGACTGATAACCATTCATCTATAATCACAAAATAAGGAATGACCCACTGGGTATACAGTATCATAATGGGGTATTATTATAAGCCTCTAGGTTTTTGTCCCTACTTTTAAGGAAGTGAGGTATGAATTTTTTTTTAAATGGCAATCTGGCTTCAGTATAAAATTGAAGAAAGGAAAGAAACTTTGGACCCCAAAAAAGTCCTCTTTTTCCCCCCCCCATATTCACTATTCTCAATATTGGAGCTAGAAATCCCATCAGACATCAAGAAGATAACTTTTACTGCTGATCAAAACTCCCATTACTTAAAAAAAAAAACAGGTCTAACAATTAAGAAATGCTTGCTGATATGTACTCTGAGTGTATAGATTTTAAGACATAAGAGAAAAAACCCCACAGGTTAATTGTTAATACCTTAATGTATTCAATCCACTGCTGCAAGAGAACCTGAACTCCACCTCGAACTCTACTGAAGAGCTGATACAGGAGAGACAAATCTTGAATTCGGTTTTCATCAAGGAGGTTATTTAAACCTGAATTTTCAAACATTTTGGCATTAAAAATACTGAACAAAAATGCCAGACATTTTAATGAAAATTAAATTATTATTGTGATACTGGTCTAAACTATTACTAGTCTATGAATTTTAATATAAAGATTTATTTTCTCTGAAATCCAAATAGATAAATCACCTTTCCAAATGAAAACTAAATATAGGGAGCTTTAGTTTATATAAATACAAAAACAATTCTGTAATGGTTTGTGCTATTTAGCATGGTAGATCAGATGTATAAACCAATTTGTAAAAACTGATTTACTTAAATACACATTATAAATAACTCACTCATATGTGCAGTAGCCATACTACATCTGGTACTAATTAGTATACATAACTGTATTTCAGAGTATTGGATATGGTCTGTGGTATTTCAAAAACCATGCATTAATAGGCCAAGTGAATAAGATTCTAATGTATTTGATTTTCAGAATGAACTAATAGTGTAACTGCGTTAAAGTTCTAAAATATATCCATTTTATATAAAAGAAAAGATGGTTGGAGAGAAAGGTAAGGCTTTTGTCTATTTCTGGCATTGTCAAAGTAAAATTCGGGGTTTACCCTTAAGATCACTTGGGATTAGAAGTGCTTGGTTTAAATGCTATGAACGTATACACTTTAGTGTAAAAAGAAATTCTTTCCCCTACCGTAGTCTTACAAATTAAGTCAAGAATTCCCATATTCCCACTGTTGCTTTTTTTTTTTTTTTAATTGATGTTAGTGGACCCCTCTCATTCTCAGTTCCTGTATCTTTAAATTAAGCCAAGAAGGACCTCCTCAAAGTTTACCATGATAAATAGGGAAAAAGGATTATGTCCATTCTCAGAAAAGCAGCCACAAAGTATCAAACTTCTTAAAAGGGTAATCCTTAAGAATTTTTTTTTACTTATTTGCTGCTACCATTTTAAAAGTGATCTCTTTATAAATTGGTCAATTACCTTTCTGAAGAATTGCTGTTAAGTGTTCACCTAGAAGTTGTTTTTCTACAGTAGCAATTAATGACTTCCTATAAGAAAAAAAGTTTAGAATTACTGACATTTGACTTTGCTGAAAATTTAAAGCCTTTCCAGAGGTCAGGGGAAACAAATAGCTTGCTTTTTTTTTAAAGAGAGAGCAATGGGATGCCTGGGTGGCTCAGTCAGTTAGGTGTCTGACTCTTGATTTCGGCTCAGGTCATGATCTCGCTCGGGCTTGTGGAATCGAGCCCCACATCAGGCTCCACACTCAGAGGGGAGTATGCTTGGGATTTGCTCTCTCCCTCTCCCCCAGCTCTCTCGCTCTCTAAAATGGGTAAGTAAATCCTTAAAAAAAAATAAAATAGAGAGATGGGGGGAGAGGGAGAGAAAGAATCCCAAACAGGCTCCACACCCAGTGCCTGAGCCCAACTCAGGGTTCCATCTCACGACTCTGAGATCATGCATGACCTGAGCCAAAATCAGGAGTTGGGACGCTTAACCAACTGAGCCACCCAAGCACCCCTCAAATAGCTTGTTTTATGTTAATTTCAATATCCCTATCCTATGTTTAAATGTATTGGTGCTCAGAGTTACTCTACACCATAAGAAGGAAAAGTGCAATACTTCAGAATTTGATTTACATCACTAAATCAATATTTCCATGGTATTGCTATGGCTGGCTTTTTCCAAGTTTCTCTGCTTT